AACAGCTGGTGGGTTCGAGCTGCTGACCTTTTGGTTAGCAGCCGATCTCTTTAACCACTATGCTACCAGGGCCCCATTCTTGCACTAAGGTAAGGCTAAATAAGACTCAGATGTACCTATTCCAACTTACGTCCAAATTCAACACAAAGACACACTTAGGAAGGGATCTTGTTCATAACCCAGGGACTGCCTGTTTTTTTTTTTTTTTTTTTTTTTTTTTTTGATAACCATCACCTTCCTCAAAAGGATGGGAGGAAGTACCAGTTGTCAGTGTGCCAACCTGATTTTACACAGCAAGTATCTAAACATTTACAAATGAAGCATTTTAAAGTAAAATGTATTTCAATGGATTCTACTGTAACTCTGTAACATGAGTAATCATGTTCTGATTATCTCCACGTGCCTGGCTCTCTTGGTACTCAGACCCTCTGGCTCTGTGGGCTACCTGGAACAGCTGTATCTCTCCAGCCTCCCTCAGGGACAGCAAATGCAAAGGTAGGAGGTATGCTGAAAGAGCCCAGGTGCCCAACATCCAGGGCTATTAACAACCCCAAGCAAACCACACACTCTGGCTTTCACTCAACACAGTAATGCATAATCTGCTGATAAAAGCCAGTATGACCTCTAGCACAGGGAGTTCCAAAAAGTATGGCCAGGCCAATAGAGGCAGATATAGTCAGACAGACACAGAACATCTTGGCCACCTTCATAAAGATGTAAACCAACGCTGCCTAGTCAACACAGTCACAAGGACTGGACACCCCAGAGGCTCCAGTCCATGGCGACGCAGTTCACTTCAGTGGCCAATGGATGTGTGTGAGCCCTGTGGGTTTAAGAGCAGGTTACATTTAAACTTAATAAAATCACCTTTGAGGGATAATTATAATTTTCGGATGGCTGATTATAGATTCTGAAACCAGCCCAGACAGGAAGACAAGTGTATGGTATGCTTAAGAGAAAAGCCGGGCAAATTCGTGTTCCATACTTGCCTATTTAAAAGAAAGAAAGAGAAAGTCAAAAGTTTACCAAAAGCATATCTAAACAACACAAGTACCACTGAGGATACCGCCCCCATCTCAAGTCATCTGAAATTTTACAATGGACCAGACAGTATTTTTAATGAGAAAAAAAAGAAGTTAAAACTAAAAACCAAACACGTTGCTGTCAAGTCAATTCTGACTCATAGCGACCCTATAGGACAGAGCAGAACTGCCCCACAGAGTTTCCAAGGAGCAGCTGGTGGATGCAAACTGCCGACCTTTTGGTTAGCAGCCAAATGCTTAACCACTGTACCACCAGGGCCCCTACTGGATACTTGTTAACAGTCATGTCCTACCTAAAATCAAAGTAAACAAACCCATTGCCGTCAAGTCAATTCCGACTCGTGGCCACCCCATGGGACAGAGTAGAACTGCTCCATTGGGTTTTCTTGGCTGCAGTCTTTACAGAAGCAGATCACCAGGCCTTTCTTCCATGGCACTGCTGGGTGGGTTTGAACCGCCAACCTTTAGGTTAGTAGTTGAGCACAAACTGCGCCACCCAGGGACCTATGTCCTATCTATGGTACAGAAAAAAGTACATTTAATATCCTGACTTCCTGCATGCATAAATAACCCTTTACTTTGGGCTTCAAGAGTCTTAATTTTCAAGTATTAAGTCCCATAGCATGTCAGGAGTTATATATAATACAAAGAGTTGTAGGAAGTATTATTTGTACACCGAAGTGTGTACATCCCAAACTGGACAAACTCCATACTTACCCCCCTAGGTGTTTAGATCCTCCTAAAAAGTCAGTAATCACTTGTATTAGATTGTCTAATTGTTCGATGTACACTTCTGAAAATTGCTCAAAAGCACTTTTTAAAAGGTGAGATTCAGAAGGAGGGGGAAAGGGAAAATTCCACAAACGAGTTTTTTAGTAAGCTTAATCAGAGTCTCTCGGTTCTGTTACAACCAAAACAGCTTCTCTATTTTAAAACAATCCCCACTGTTTCAAAAAAAAAAAGGGAAATGAATTTTAAGATAAAGCTTCTTACCCACAATGTTTCCAGGCAGAAAAACAATAATGCTCATAATAATAGATCCGACCCAATACAGGCCAATGGTTCGATAACTTTCCCTGTAACAAAAAAAATCTTGATGTAGTGCACTGGTCCGAGAATACTATTAGCAGAAGATGTTTCCCGATATTATTTTATATTCAAACTAGTAAAGTATATGAATCGAAACTTAATGACTCCAGGGTAATAAACACAAAGAACCCTGGTGATCAAACTTCATCTGGACATATGATATACTGTAGACCTTCTTTGTGTCCTTTTGAATAGGAAATTATTCTTGCTACACTGATTTTTTTAACTACAACATGGTCATCATCGCCAAACAGATCCTACAATCTCTATTATGTATGAAACACACGGCCATGAGAGAAACAAAAAGGTTCAAAGAAAGGGATCCATATTTTAAATTATAGTAAGTGTGAGTAATAGGATGTTAGATGAGTGTTCCCTGTTGTCACCTCAAAGGTGAAGGGAGTGACATATACACCATGTCCTAAAGGAACTACTAGAGGTATACCCCTCATCTTCTTAATCAGAGATGTTGCCCAAAAGTTCCTTCAATGAATAACCCCAATAACCCACCTCCATCCTATAGAAGAGGCTATGAGAAATTCAAAGGGAGATTCTCTGAAGGGAAGCACAGTAAAAAATTGTAAGTGCTTCTTGCCACCCCCACCCCCCAGGCCAAATGAAGTGGGCCCCCAGAGGCCCATTCACAGTGACTGGGATTGTCAGCAGGAGGATAGACAAGTATTTTCCTCCCCAACTGGGTGCTAACTGAGCCGCAGAAACTCTGTGGCCCATCCCTGGCTGCCGCTAAGCAGAGCTCTGGCATTTCCTCCTAGAGCCTGGGAACATTAGTGCAGAAAAAGGCTGGTGCTAGAAAAATCCAAACACTGGCTGGAGCTGCCCTTAAGTGCATGGTGAGGAGAGAGGGTCTGACAGTCAAGCTGCATTTCACCCTTGTATGGGACAAGAGAGGAGCTTTGGTGGTACAGTGGTTAAAGCGCTAGGCTGCCGACTGAAAGGCTGGTGGTTTGAAACTACCAACCACTCCTCGGAAAAAACACTGGCAGTCGGCTTCTATAAAGATTTACAGCTTTGGAAACCCCATGGGGCAGCTCACTACAAGGTCGCCACAAGTCAGAATCGACTGGACGGCAATAGGTTTGGTTTTGGGTTTAGTGATGGGACAAGAATGTATGCCTTTCTCTAACCAGCAGCCAAGTGGAGGCCTGGGGAGGTAGCTGGGCTTGAGCTATCTGCCTCTGGATGGGTTTGAACCACCAACCTTTCTTTTTTTTTAATTGTGATTTAGGTGATAGTTTACAGAGCAAATTAGTTTCTCACTCAAAAATTTATACGCCAAATTGTTTCGTGGCATTGGCTGCAATCCCGCACCGTGTCAGCACTCTCTCCCTTTCCCTTCCAGCCCGGCTTCACTGTGGGCATTCATCCAGTTTTCTTGTCCCCTCCCACCTTCTCGTCCTTGTTCCTGGGCAGGTGCTGCCCATTTGATCTCGTATACTTGTTTTGATTTAAGAAGCACCTTCCTCACTTGTGTTATTGCTTGTCTTATAGGCCTGCCTGATCTTTGGCTGAAAGGTGAACATCGAGAGTGCTTCAATTCTGAGTTAGAAGGGTGTCCGGGGGCCATAGTCTCCGGGGTTCCTCTAGTCTCTGTTAGACCAGTAAGTCTGGTCTCTTGTGAATTTGATCATTTTGAACCACCAACCTTTCGACTAGTAGTTGAGCGCTTAACCGTTCTGTGCGCACCACTGAGGGAGTCCTACTGTTGTTAGAGCATCATCAGAACGCTAAGGGGTCTGCCTGAGCTCTCCTCATGGCGGGGCAGTAACCCAAAGGAATATGCCCTAGAGGCAGTGGTGCAAGGATAAGGCACTTCCAGCTTGCACCCATCAAACGTGTATTCACATCCAGGGATACCTGTTTGTGTATTTGCCTCTATACATGCACCTTCCTTACACACCTGCTGATCTGTTGCCAGGGCGGCAAGGCACACGCACCAAGTGAACTGACTTACTCCCATGCTATGGCTGCCACCATCACCAGGTACATCAGGTAGTGTGCAGACCCATCCCAGTAGCAGATCATGTGCCCGTATGCAGTGTTCAGATACGGCTCGGCCTACAGAAAGCATGAAGAACAAATCCACTTTAAATATGACTCAGACGTTTAAATGCACAACACCAGGTCTGTATTACAAGTGAAATATAACAGCACAATTCACTTGTGTTAGTCGACTAAGACAAAACTCTTCTTAACCATATAAAATTGGTAGGAATGTGAAAATATGATGTTCCCCTGCAGCTGCCAAAACCAGGGTCAGTCACAGGGTATCTCATGAGAACTCCAGGTGGAACGCCTGATCGATGGGCCTGCACTAGATCAGCACAGATTTGTACCAAGACAGAAAGGCAGAAGGCACGGCAAACTCCTCGGGGCCAAGCCAGTGGCGTGACTAAAGGGTAGCTTGGTCGTGGCCAGAGGGGGCGGCAGGGAAGACCATGACTCCTGGAGCCACTGGCTGACAGCACTGTAATCATTCATTCACTTGAACCCGTGGCTGGCTGGCTGGCTGGCTGGCTGGCTGGCTGGCTGGGCGTGAGGCAGGCATCACTCCCCACACACATTCCCACAGACAGCCCACACTAAACTCAGAGCTTCACACCCGGCCCTTCCTCCAACCTTCCCAACCACCCTGTGAGACACCATGATTACCTCCATTTTACAGACAAGAAACGGAGGCTCCAAGAGGTTACAGGACTTGCTTAAGGTCACATGGCTAGTATCTAGCAGAGACTGTACTGTTAAGAAGAACCACACTTCTGAGAAGTTTTAAGTTTTATGAACACAAGATTATATAATGAGTTACAGTTCCCTTTTCCCAGTGGCTCTAGAAAGTCACTTTCAAGTGTGTGGCCCTCAGCAGGTGTGCCGGCCACCACGGTAGGTGTTGGTAGTGCCATTGTGCTTCCACCTTGTTCTTCGTCCCACGTCCGTGCTCTCCTGCTTGTTTTACACGTCTCCATAAGCTGCCTTAAGTCCTTTCTACAACGATCAAGACTGAGTATTAACTCATCTATCAATCTTCTAGCCCTGCGGGTGATTCTCTGAACCTTCACGCTCCCCTGGGGCAAGGACTGCTCTGTAACAAATCAGATCAAACTGAAAGTACAGAGAATGAGGAAACTATGAACCGCAGTGCTTCTGTGCCTGTGCCCGGCCCACATCTTTTCTTTCTGGCATGCTCTGACTGGTGGTGGTGGTTGTTAGCTGCCAGTGAGTTGATTCTGACTCATAGCTACCCTAAAGGACAGAGTAGAACTGCCCCATAGGGTTTCCAAGGCTGTAATCTTTACAGAAGCAGACTGCCACATCTTTCTCCCATGGAGTGGCTGGTGGGTTCGAACCTCTGACCTTTCGGTTAGCAGCCAAGCGCTTAACCAGGGCTCCTTGTTCTGACTGGTAATATCACCCAATTCCATGGCTTTCCTCATTCAGGCTTACACGCCTGGCTCCAGAACCCTGGCTTCTCCCAGTGGTTTGCTGGATGGCCCACAGGCCAGCCCTTCCAGGTCACCAAAACTCCTCTAAATTCATCAGCTTCTCCCCTCAACCAACCCTTCCACCTGGCTTCTATCAATGGCGACACCACTCAACTTACCCAGGTTCAAAACCACAAGGTCATTTTTTTATTCCTCGTTCTCCTCAGCAGTTTGGCACGAAATCCTACCGATTTTATCTCTATAATGTCACCATGCCATCCTCCCTCTTCACACCCTGTCACGGCTCCAGTTCAAGCCCTTGGTGCCCACACTGGACCACTGCTATTCCAAACTGGTTCGCTACGTCTATACCCTCCTTCCAATCCATCACACTCCTGCTGCCCGATGATATTCATGAGGCCTGGCTCATGGCCTGTCGATCTTCAGCTCTGAAACCTCCCAAAGCCTGTGGCTGCCTGCAGGATCAAGCCCCATCTTCTAGATGGCAGCTGGGTCCCCAGAGCCTGGTCCTGCAGACCTCTCCAGTTTTGCCCCAACTCCCCTTCTCACACCCCTTCTGCCCCATCCTGGCCTCCCTCACCAGCTGGACCTCCAGGCCTTCTCAGCAGCTGCACATCCTCATCCTGAAGCCCTGCCCCCTCTGCCCTCAGTGGCCAGGTGCTCCCTGGGTTTCCTTCTGCCTCTCTGCCTGCTCCCTCACAGTCTACTTCAGAGGCTTCTCTGCTTCAGCAGCCACAGCCTCCAAAGTTCCAACATGGCCCTCCTCTCTCTCCACACTCCTCCTGGGTAAGTTCCTCCCCTGTCAGGCCTTTAGGTACCAACTATACTCAGATGGCTCCCAAGTCTCCCTGCCAGGAATGATCCTCAGAGCCCAAGACCTGCAAAGCTCTGCCACCTGTAACCCAAAATGTCCTTGCAAACCTTGCACTATTCAGGCTAGCAGTGGGGAGACACGTGCTATTTCTCATCCCAAGCCTTTGCCCAAGCTGTTCCTTCTTCTTGGAATGCTCTTCAACCCCCTGGTCTATCTGAAAAAATGTTTGTCATCCACGGCCATTGCTATTTAAAAAATGCTATAGCAGTGTCACCACCGTGACGAGGCCCGCCCCCACTGCTCCCAGAGGTAATAGGGCTGTCTTTGCTCTGTGGACTTCTGCGCCTGCGTGAGTCTCCATCCCTGCACCTAGGACAGTGCCATCTCCCTGTGGGACCAGGCAGTGAGCCCCCGGTGGGAAGCAAGCAGGTTGTAGGATCCCAGAATCTAATCCAACCAAGCCTGTGGAACTGAATTCCAACTCTCCTCCCTTTCTGGTGTAATCACACCGGCATTCTTCCAGATTCCAAATTCTAAAGCAAGAATCAGCAAGTCATTTTGGACTTTACCTCCCTGTCACCCCTTAACCTGTCCCCAACTCCTACTCATTCAAGTCATTCATATTCTGTAAAATCCATCCCTTCTCTCCATTTCCTGTGCACTGCGCCAGTTCAGGCCCTCTTCATGTCTTCCTGGCCCTGCAAAAGCCTCCTGACCCGTGTCCCAGCTAATGGCACTAACTCTTCCCTTCAAACCATTCTTTCCAGAGCTGATGCATTCTGCTGATTTAAAATCTTCCCTTGCATATAGGATAAAATCTAAACTTCCTTAGCTTGCATACAAAGCTCCCTGTTATTTCAAATACAGATGAAGACATACTTTCAGCTCTGCTCCTTATTGCCTGTGTGACCTTCAGCAAGTCACTTAACCTCTACGGGCTGGATTTTCCTCCCATAAAATAAGAAAATAGGACTAGCTCTCTCAAATGCCATGGAGCTCTGTAGTGCTATGATTTGGTGGGGGTATGTGTTGATCATCACAATCAAAGTGCTTCATTAAGTGCCTTGGTGCTTGGTACTTTACAAATTTAAGACTGACTTAGACTTTCTGAGATAGTAATGTATTCATAATGTTGTTGTTACTTGCCATCAAGTCAATTCCGACTCATGGCAACCCCATGTGTGCGGAGTAGAACTGCTCTATAGGGTTTTCAAGGCTGTGACCTTTTGGAAGCAGACCGCCAGGCCTGTCTTCCAAGGCACCTCTGGCTAGTAGTCGAGCACTTAACCAACTGCGCCATCCAGGGACTCCTCATATTCATAATGTTGTTGTTGTTGTTGATTCTGACATGGAGTTGATTCTGATATATTCATAATAGACTCACGTACTAAATTCACTTAAAATACCTCATCCATATTAAAACCCATTGCCATCGAGTCAATTCTGACTCATAGCAACCCTATAGGACAGAGGAGAACTGCCCCATAGGGTTTCCAAGGAGCAGCTGGTGGATTTGAACTGCCGACCTTTTGATTAGCAGCTGTAGCTCTTAACCACTGCACCACCAGGGCTCAAGCACATGTAAAGGGAAAAGGTAGGTCATCTGGTGACTGGGTGGGAAGAAGGAGTTCTAAGAGCTGAATGTGGAAGGGAACTGCCCCCATGATCTAATCCTAGTTTTCTGCTTCACTTTCCATGTGAATAAACAGCCTAAGTCTATTGCAGTAAACAAAATTTGGTGTATCACACCGCCTTACGCTAAATTAGAGCATTTTGGTCTCTGAGCAAAGTGGTTGGGGCTCCTGACCCTTTGGTTTAAGGGTAATAATTGCTAAGCAACCCCTTACCTCTCTCAAGTAGTGCATCATGAAGCCGTCAATGATTCCATCCTGTTCCAGGCCTATGATGAGGTTCACCACACTGGTAAATCCAAAGACGGCATAAACTAGAGCAAAGAAACCAGCAGTTTAAGAAGCAGTAGCTCAGCAATTACAAAGAGCTTGGTATTAGCCAATAATAATGGATTGTTTTTAACGCTTTCCAGACTGTATCAGCTGCACGTCTGACCAGAACTCTGCCTGTGTTCAGGAATCTCCCCATTACTGCCCAGATGCTCACACCTAGGGAACACTCGTCACTGGGGTAGAGAATGATGAAATCCTCTGCCTCTGTCCCCGAGGATGCTACCAGGACACATGGGATCTCCATTAGTCAGAACTGACTTGATGGCCCCTATCCTCCACGCCCCTCACAAGTGGCTGCCCAGGACCAAATCTGCCTCCCACCTGGGCCATCAGGCACAAAAACAGAACTGAGGGGACCAGGAAGCATAGAGGTGACCACCAGGTTTAAAATAATGACTTAAATCAGTTGCCATCGAGTTGCCTCTGACTCATGGCAACCCCATGTGTGTCAGAGTAGAACTGTGCTCCATAGGGTTTTCAATGGCTGATTGTTTATATCACCAGGCCTTTCTTCCGAGGTGCCTCTGGGTGGACTGGAACCTCAAACTTTTTGGTTAGCAGCTGATCACATTAACCATTTGCAACACCCAGGGACTCCTAAAATAACGACTTAGAAGAGGTAATTCACACAACCATTACTAAGCAGGCCAATTACAGTTTATCCAGCAATGTTTGCCCTATTCCATGCTGAAGACCCTACAGACAGACAATCAGCAATGCATAAGTGACAACAGCTCTAAGAAAAAGGCCAGCAATCAAAAAATTGAACAGGAATGGTACAATTGAATATGAAGGAAGCAAAGCAGTAGCATCTTAGAGAATCTTACTAGGGTTGTGAGAATCTCTTAAACAGGCTTAAAACCACTATCAGCAAAAGGCTAAAAGGATACTACTTGTAAACAGTGGGTGGTCAAATTTGTCAAGATAGCTACATTTTCAAGTTGTAATAAATCTGTGTCTTAGACTATGTGATGGCAAATACAAGAAAAGCTGTGGGAAAAGAAATTAGAGAAGAACGGCATGGAGAAGGTTAATTCACAGAGAAGGGGAGCTGGCCTCACCCCGAGTCCAAGTCCATAGCCAGAAGTTCGGTGTTTACATTTTGCCCTGAGGGAGCGAGGGTGCCCTGCCTTCTCTGTGCCTCCTCAGAGGCCTTTGACCCAGTTCTCGCTGACAGTCACTTTCTGACACTCATTTTTTGGACTCCTCCCAGGTGATTAGCTGTCTTATGGCCCCCAGGAAGGGAAGTGTTCAGCACATGATCACTGTTCTACCTACAACTCCTGATGCCCACACATACGTCAGACCCTGTGTTAGAAATGACAAAGACATAGTCTCTTCTCTCTAGCAGATGAGGAGTCCAACCCGGGGCCTGATCCTGAGGCTGCAGTGTGATCAGACACAAATACTAAATTCATTTAAAGTACCTCACTTATATGAAGTGCAGGTAAGCTGGAACACAGGCAGGGACAGGGCTGAGGGTGCACGAGATGGGGTACCTAGGCTTGGAGGAGTCGGGGAAGACATCAGAGTACAGGTAAGTGTAGGCCCCATGGAGTGGGGAGTCCCAGGGTGGCTCAAACGACTAACACACTCAGTTGCTCACCAAAAGGTTGGAGGTTCAAGTCCTCCCAGAGGTGCGTTGGAAGAAAGTCCTGGTAATCTACTTCCAAAAAATCAGCCATTGAAAACTCTATGGAGCACAGGTCTACTCTGACACACATGGGGTCACCATGAGTTGGAGGCAACTTGGTGGTGGCCATACAGTGGGGCAGAAGAGGAAGGACAGACAGCCGCAGGGGACTAATCTGGAAAGCAGGTGGAGTCAGATCAAAGGCAAGTGGAGTGGAGCAGCATGGGCTTTGAAGCCAGACAGGCCTGGCTCATCTACTGACTGGCTGTGAAACTTCTGGCAGGTCCCGTAATTTCGCTAAGCTTCAAAGTTTTTTATATGTAAACTGAGGGAAATTACTCATAAATCCATTGTTGTTGAGTTGATTCCAACTCATGGCAACCCCGTATGTGTCAGGGTAGAACTGCTCCATAGAATTTTCATGGCTGAGACCTTTTCGAAGTAGATCACCAGGCCTTTCTTCCCAGACGCCTCTGGGTGGGTTCAAACCACCAACCTTTCGATTAGTAGCCAAGTGAAAACCATTTACACCACCAGGGACCTTGTTGTTGTTGTCAGTTGCAATAGATTTGATTCAGACTCATGGCAACCATTACTTGCAATTCTTTCCCTCTCCACGTTTGCCAAGGTCTCCTGTGGGCAAAGAATACTTCCTGAGCCACTGATGATGGGCTTGGCCACATGACTTGCTTGGCCAATGAAACGTGGGTGGAGTGACAGTGGGCCAGCTCCAAGCTTTAACCCTTTCATGGACCATGGGATATTTATGTCTGTGTTACATTTTCTGCCCCTGGAGATTTACTGGCAGGAATTTGAGCCACTTCAGTATGTTCCGGCATCACAGCAGATACTGGTGCAACTGCCTAAAAAACAAGGAAGTTGTTTTTTAGTGTTGAGAGCCACATTTGAGTGTTGACAACCATTCAAATGAGGGGATGCTTCCTGGAGGAGTGACTGTGTGAAACTTTTGTGTCTTTTGGCTACTGTACAGCAAGATAAAGCTTGCAAGTATGTTTACCATTTCCTTTGTGTTATTGGGAAGGTACAGTTACCTGCATTTGGAAATATTCAAGTAAATGAGTTATTTTTTGGGTGAAAACAGTTTGTAATGCACTTCCTGGGCCACGGGACCGATACATCCCACGTGTGTGGTGTGTTTCACGGTGCCAATTATGTGCAGCCAGTGCCATGTTTCTTTAGTATTTCGTGTGTATTTTTTGAAAGATGAGTAAGATATTTTATGGCTCAAGTGTAACCAGGAAGTGTGATGCACCATGGGACGGATATGTCCTGCATGTGTGATGTGCTTCATAGAACACAAGACCGGTATGTCCCACGTGAGTGATATGCTTCACAGAACGTGAGACTGATTTGTTCTGCTTGCAGTTGGCACCCATTTTATCAAATAACAAAAACCTACCAAGAAACTGATTCAGCATCCATTCCATTAGTGAAAAAACATGGCATCACCAAAAAATTCCAAAAAAAATTTATCCATGAAAGGGTCAAGAGACATTGGTTTATTTTTTTTTTTTCCCCACTAGTCCTTCTTGTGCCTTTGTATCTTCCACGCGTGCCCTGGGGAGCTGTTGGCTCAAGAAGAAGAAACATGGAACTGACCAGAATTCAACCCACAGCCTGAAACAAAGAGGATCCAGCCAACCTGAAGAACCAGGAACAAGAAAAATAAGTGTCTGCTGTTGCAGGGCACCAAGATTTGGAGGGTGTTTGTTACTCAGCATTATCGAAGCAGAAGCAAAACAAGTAAAATACACAGCAAAGAACCCACCACAGGAAGTGCTCAAAGACTCATAACAGCTTTTCTGGAGGCAGGGTGGCATAATGGAAAGAGCATGGGCTTTGGGGATCAAACAATGCCGTGCTCACTAGCTGTGGGACCCTGACCATTTACTGAGCAACTCTGAGCCGGCGTTTTCATCCGTAAACCAAAAAACCAGTTGCCATCAAGTTGATTCCAATTCATGGCGAACCTCCGTATGTGTCAGAGTAGAAGCGTGCTCCACAGGGTTTTCAATAGCTGCTTTTTCAGAAGTAGATCGCCAGGCCTTTCTTCCAAGGTGTCTCTGGGTGGACTCAAACCTCCAATCTTTTGGTTAGCAGCCAAACGTGTTAACCATTTGTGCCACCCAGGGACTCCTCTTCACCTCTAAATGGAGGGATGTTTGTTGTGAGGATTAAATAAAATAATACTTCTACAGTACTTAGAGCCATACCAGGTACAGCGTGGGTGCTCGCTCACTGATGTTTTTATTTATTGAATAAACATGTCCATCTGCCAGGCACTGTTCTGAGTACTTTACACATATTATCTTATGTAATCCTTGTACCAACCCTGTGTGGTAGGTCCTATCATTTCCTCATTTTACAAAGGTGCAGACACAGGTCCTGTGCAGGAAAAGGGCATGCCAGGTGGAGGGGCTGCAAGTAGCAAAGCTGATAGCAGGAAGCCCAGGAAGGAGCTAGTACAGCGTAGAGGTCAGAGGTCAGAACACACTAGTGGCGAGGAATGGAGGGCTGTCCTACCAAGTCCTGGAAATAACCCTCCGCCGGGACCGCATCTGGGAGGGGATGGGATCACAGCCTGGGAGACAAGGGCCACGTTGTCATGAAAGACCCTTACATTTCTAGCCAATTTACCGGTGGGGTCTGAGTATTTATCCGCAAGGCAGAAAACACGATGGAAGCCAAAATGTTGGGGTACTAATTGGGCACAAACGGGATCCCTCCGCTGGTACGTACCATAGAACAGTGGGTCCCGGGGTGGTTTTCTTTTGACGAGGACGCGAGCCAGCAGGGCGACCAGGAGCAGGATAAGGGCAGCACTCCCTACAATGGTCCAGGAACTGTAACAACAGAACAGGGAAGCGGTCACTTATCAAAGCAAACATGCTGGTGCCTGGAATTTCCTGACCGTTGAATACATTCGCTACGAGCCCTGCCTCTACCTCCGCCTGTGGCTCACGCGCTGTAGTTAGTGACGTTTATCGCTAGCACTTGGTTCCATGTCTGGGAGCCCTTGATTTTCAGGGACAGGAGCCACCACGCCCTCATTCTCCTCTTGTCCTGAAAACATGTCTCACATGCGCAGGCGGTATGTCTGGAGTGCCCTCTGCCCCACCACACCCCCACCCCTAAGATAGGCACTGCCCTCCTGACTCTACCTACCCAGCCCTCCAAAACCCCTGCCCCCACGTCTCCAGAGGCTCCCGGGCAGCTGACAGGTCTAGCCATTGAATCTGCCACCTCCTTCATGACCAGCCGGAAAACCCTGGACTCCAGGGGAAACGCGGGAGATAGAACTACACACACCTTCCGGGGGAGCAGGGAGAAGGGACTATATGTCAGGTGTATAATCAAACGGGCCAGAGGACGAAGGCAGGAAATCAGAGGGGAGGAGTCGGGGCTAAAGTTTAGGCCGAATACGGTCAGTCCAACTCACCCCCAGGGCCAGCATCCAACCTCAAACTAGGAGGGCATCCAAGGCAACGCTGGGTGAGGCACAGTCCTGGACCTGTGCCTGGGAAAGGGAGTGGCACTGAGGAGGCCAGGGGCCAGCACCAAGGCACGAGGCTTGGGGGAGTTAGTAGAAATCGGTCCAGCAGTCAAGAGACCTAGGTTCTAGAACTCATCTGTCACTGAGCAGTTGTATGACCTTAGAAAAGACACATCATTTCATTCATCTGCTCATTAATTAATTGGAAAAACATGTTGAGAAAAAATGTATTGCACACCTCTTTGTGCCAGGCACTGTTTCAGGCACTGGGGACACAGGATGAACAAGACAGGTCCCTGTCTCCATGGAGGGACCTATCTCAATGGTCTCTGAGCTCCACCAACCAGTAAGTCCCCTTTAATCCTACACAGAGACCTTCCCTCTCATACCTCCAGCACTGACAGGGCTTCTAGTTCTAGACAAAGCCACGTATGGCCAACACCAATGGCCTGCTACACCAGGGCCTCCTCAACTACCCCTTAGAACTTCCATGAGCACCTCTCCTTGGCTGAGACACCTCCATACAGCCCAACCTAAGGGTCTTTGGATAACCTTTACCAAATGTGGTCCCCAGCATCCCTCAGACTTCTGGAAAGCATCCTTCTCAGTCACAGGCTCCACAGTCTACCAGCGCCCACCAATGACTCAGACAAACTCATGCGGAAGTCCATTCTACACACCTACAGTTGGGATAGGGGCAAGGCACAAGTCAGAAAGCTTCCCCCAGAGGGGTCAGTAGGGAGCAATGATCAACCCATCCACTGCTGGTGGACAGGACCCCAAGGAGACTGGCCAGAGGTACAAGAAAGTTGTATTCCCAGCACCTTGCCCTGCAGCCCACATGGAATCAGGGAGAGGGGCTCTGGGCATTAGCAGCCCCCAGATTTCCAGATGCCACCCTGAACCTACAAAATCAGAATGCCTCAGGGATGGGGACTGAGAATGTGCAACTCTTCTCAGTATACCTGGATGACCGTGAGGCTGGTAGTCAGCCTGGGACCTCTGAGAAGGTGTACAGGAATTGATGGATGAGGGATGGATGGACAAATGGATGAGGGATGATGGAAAAATGGATGAGGGATGGACAGATGAGGGCAGATGGATGGATGAATGATGGGTGGATTATGGATGGATGGATGAGAGACAGATGGATGCATGACACAGTTCTATAAGAATGAGGATGACTGTGTCAGTATCCAGGTTAGAGAGTGAAATAAGAGGTTTCTGGTGGTGCATATAAGTGGATGCTCCAGCTTCTCCTGTGGGGTTGAGTGGAAAGAGGAGAGGAAGGAGGAAGAAGCCTATGTGGGTCAAGAACATGATGGTGGGCTGGAGCATCCTGTGAGGTGTGCTGTATAAGCTGACAGACATTTTCATGAAGGACAGCCTGAGGCAGGTGGTGGCCAGGAGATACCCCCTGTGATGGTTAAGGCTATGTGTCAACTTGGCTGGACCATAATTCTCAGTGGTTTGGCAGATGATGTAGTTTGGCAGTCGTATGATGTTGTGACCACTTCAGTGATGAGATTTGATATAATGTGATCACTTCCATGATGGGATCTGCTGTGAGTAGCCAGTCAGTTGAAAGGGAGTTTCCTTGGGCATGTGGCCTGCACTGAATATAAGTGGACATTCTGGCAAGGTTCAGGGGCTTTTGCTCGCTCTGGATCCTGCAGCTGGCTCCTGTTCATCTGATCTCCAGTTCTTGGGACTTGACCTAGCAGCTTAGCTATGGTCTTGCCTGCTGATCTTGGGATTCGACGGTCTTCTTAGCCTGTGAGCAAGAGCCCTGCTCTCTGACCTGCCAATCTTGGGTTTGCCAGGCCCTGTGGCTATATTAATCAGGAGAAGCCTCTATCCTGACCCACAGACTTGAGACGTTCCAGCCTCTATAGCCGAGTGAGCTATTTCCTTGATATAAATCTCTCTATATATATATTTATGGGCTTTACTGGTTTTGCTTCTCAGCCTAAGACAGTCTCCTATTGAGCGCTGAGGATGGAAGCTTGCAATAAATTATCTGAGTCTTTAGGAGTGTGTGACAGTGTGGACAGAACAATCCCCCAAGGCCTGTATCTGGCAATGGGTATGTGTGCCACGCACATAATAGTTCTTTCAAAGTAATGATGTCAGTAAATGTATCTATACTTGTGAGAGAGACAATCTATATTTTAGTTGATAAAGGACGAGTATGTGAGAAACTAGGCATCTAGTTTCTCCAGAGGTGAGACAGGGCCGTTAGGAGAAGAAAAGGAAGAGGCAGGGCAAAGGAAGAAGGCAGAGATAAGGGGCAGGAGAGGGAGTAAGAGGAGGGGGACAGGACAGAGAAGGAAGGAGGTACAGTGAGAGAATGGAAGTGTGCACACCGAAATGCTCAGCCAATTACTGTCTGGTAGTCAGCTGCACACATGTTGATTAATAGTTTAAAAATGCTTGAAAACTGATCCGGGCATTTTCTAGAGAGCCATTTTTCATTCTTTCAATAAGCTTTAATTGAGCACCTACGATGTGGCTAGCACCATGAAGTCAGAAAAGAAAAGTCATGATCCTTCCTCTAGAAGAGCTCATAATTCAGGGGTCCAGATAATGTGCTACAACCAGCAAGAAAGGAGTGTGTATGTGACGACTGGAAACACCTATACATGTTACACAGAAAAGGAATTTTGCATCTAGGTCAAAACGAAGCCATGTGAGCCGTGGTCTGTGATGTCCCTGGTATACAATGACACAATCCTTCAAGTCCCAGAGAGTATGAGGTCCCCTGAAGTGTACCGAAACAGCCAGTCTCCATGAGGCTCAACGTGTAACTTGGGCACCACTCAGAAGGAGAGCTATGAGAGTGCTGAGAGGTTCTATTGAACATGAGACTCTGTATTGATGCTAAACTCTGGGCTCAGTGTTCCAACATTAGTCCTCCCTCAATGTGGCATATAAATGTTGCATGTTGTCAAATGAAAGAGAACCAATCAAACAGAGAATATTATACCCAGCAGATTCGAGGCTTATTAACTTGGAATAGACTGGCATAGTGATTAACAGGATGGACTCTGAGGCCAGATGCCTGAGCTCAAATCCGAGCTTTCCCACTTAATAGCTGTGGGACTTAACCTCCCTGCCCCTCAGTTTCCCTAATCTATAAAATAGGTACATAACAATACCTATCTCATAGAGGTTTTATGAGGATTAAAACAAATCCATCTATATAAAGTGCCTGGGACATGGTAAAAATTATAAACATGTTGTTATGATGATGATGGAATTCATATATATTGCTTCCACAACGCACACATATGAAAATATATTCTTATACTCCAAAGTATTCTCCCTATCATAAAAGTAATTGCTAATATTTTATCCTCTCTCTTTGGATCCTCCTATTTTTAATTAAACTTACTGAATGAAAAACCTGAGCTACAAAGAGGTGAACTGACTTGGCCAACATCTCAGAACCAATATGTTGCAGATTTGGGATTTGAAGCCAGGGTTCCTGATCCTCAGCGGTCTGTCCAGCACTGTGTTACTTCTGCTCACACCTCTGCCCACATGGAACAAGGATGTCCTGTTCTATGACTCTAACTCTGTTCTGACTGGAGATTTACAGTATCCGTGCTCCCCAGCTCATCTGGTAGGATTCCCATGCTGTGTACTTCCTGCCATCAGTGACACAGTCCTGACATGCAACAGAAAAATAAGGACATTGGGTGACTACTGACTCATAGCTATAGTCCCAGCCCACAGGGCCAAATGGATTCCAAAGAGATAAGCCATGAATGAAATAAGATGCTGTCTGCAAGTCTATCCAGAGGCTACCCTATCGTCGGACACGGGCAAATGTTCTAAACCCAGTCCAGGCCAGATGTCTTATGTTCCTCACAAGAAGAAAGAAGGTAACCTACTTCCATCCCAAAGATCTTCTAAATACCCCAGAACCATAGAGATGAGATTCTAAATTCTCGTTTTCATATAAGGAATGGTCTCAGAGAACAGGATTATTTTCAAGCCTTGAGGGCTAATGTAATGTGTTCGGCTGACTTGTTGGTGCCTGTTATCCCTTCTTTCCCTCCAGTTTCTCCCATTTGTAATGGAAATGTCTAGCTCGTGCCTGTTCCACCATTGTACTTGGAAGCAGATAACTTGTATTCTAGATTTGACAGATGAAGAGGAATTTTTGGATTTTGGACTTGGAGTTGATTTAAGAGTTTTGCTATGATATGATCGGGTGAATGTGTTTTACATATGGCAAGGACATGTATTTGTTAGGGCCAAAGGGTGGAATGTTATGGATTGAATTGTGTCCCCCCCAAAATATGTCAACTTGGCTAGGCTGTGATTCCCAGTATTATGTGATTGTCCACCATTTTGTCATCTGATGTGATTTTCCTATGTGTTGTAAATCCTACCTCTATGATGTTAATGAGGCAGGATTAGAGGCAGTTATGTTAATGAGGCAGGACTCAATCTACAAGATTAGGTTTTGTCTTAAATCAATCTCTTTTGAGATATAAAAGAGAGAAGTGAGGGGGGAGGGGGGAATCTCACCCATACCACCAAGAAAGCAGTGCCAGGAGCAGAGCGTGTCCTTTGGACCCAGGGTTCCTGCATGAAGATGCTCCTCGACCAGGGGAAGATTAATAACAAGGACCTTCCTCCAGAGCCAGCAGAGAGAAAAAGCCTTCCTCTGGAGCTGACACCCTGAATTCAGACTTGTAGCCTACTATACTGTGAGAGCATAAACTTCTGTTTGTTGAAGGCATCCCCTTGTGGTATTTCTGTTATAGCAGCACTAGATGACTAAGACACCCTCCCCCCACCCCAAAGTTCCTTCTCCTACCAAGGACCTGAGCTCACAGCCCACACAATCATATGATCATGCAGCTGGTGCTCTTCAGGAGTAGGAGAGAGCAGCCTAAACTGGTTCACGGTGTCCTCTCACACTCTCCACCTCTAGGGGAGGAGGGGAGAAGAAACATAAACTGGAGCACAGATAATCTCTGCCTCCCTGGTGCTGTCCCCAGAGATCCCCAGAGATCCTCCATGACAGCCAGGGGCAAGACCTACTCAGAACAGGGAGAAACGTGTCCAGCAGGGATTCAGGGAGGACAGCTAAAGGCGGCAACTAACTCAAGGATGAAAAAATTGTTAGTCTTTGGAGGAGGGTGCTTTACTGATGCCCTTCCATTGACAGACACCTACTGAGACAGGACATGTATGGGCGAGTATGAGCAGAGTGTGTGTGTGTGTGTGTTTGTGTGTGTGTGTGTGTGTGTGTGTGTACTTACACGCAGGAGAGAGACCCCAACCCTTTCCTAACGTCTCAACCTAATTTGCTTTTTCTTTCTTTCTTTCTTTTTTTCCAGGCTTTACATAAAGGTCTGGTGGGAAGGAAGCTCAGTTCAACAAATGCAAACATAATTGCATGTCTGCTATGCACAAGGCGCTGGGCTGGGCAGGACAGACTATGGTGAGCTCTAACCTGGACAGGTGAGTTCTGAAAAGCCTGACCACAGAAAAGTGACTCTCATGGGAGTGGTGCAATCGAGGGGGCCCAGCAGAGAGAGAGGTCACATGTGCTTGGAGGGAGGGCCTGGAAAGGAAGAGGTGGTCTTTTACTCTAGGCCATAAAGTCCAGGCGTGGCTTCAACCATCAGCAATAGAGAGGAAGGCCTCCCAGTCAGAGGGAACAGGGTGAGCAAGGCCAGGAGGTAGGACAGTAGAAGGAGAATCCAAGGGCAAAGAAGAGTGTGGGGTGGCTGAAGCACTAGGCTGGCAGGCTGGGGGTAGCAGCTGAGGCTGAGAAAGGTGCAGGGGGAGGGGGCTGGGCCGGTGCCTCACACAGGGGCCTTGGCCATGATCCAGGCCTGAGAGAGCAGCGACTGAGGGAACCAAAAGGAGGGAAGGGATACAAGACCAGCCCCAGGTCCTATGGGGGAAGGGGACAGTGGAGGGGAGGGGATGGAGAAAGAAGAGGGCGGAGTCAAGGACCACTGGATTTTTAATCTGCCAGAGAACAGTAAAAATGGCTGGAACCAATTCAATTCTTCCAAACACGGCAGGGCTTAGCTACATGTTTACTAATACACATACACACACACAGCCCATTGACATCAAGTCAATTTCGACTCACAGTAACCCTATCAGATAGAGTAGAACTTCCCCGCAGGGTTTCCAAGGCTATAATCTTTAAGGAAGCAGACCGTCACATCTTTCTCCTGCAGAGCAGCTGGAGAGATTGAACCACCGACCTTTCGGTTAGCAGCCTAGCACTTAATCATTGCATCACCTGCAATACATAATTCAGTCTGTGTTCAGTAAATGCCATCACCATCTTCCCAGTGGCTGAACCCCAAACCTAGAAGTCATCCCCAAATCCTCTCTTTACTGCAATGCAATCTTTCAGCAAGTCCATCTGCTCTCCCTCCAAAATATCTCCCACATCCACCCACTCCCTCCCCCTGCACTGCTCCTAGTTCTCCTGCCTGGGAGACTCTGCCCCCAGGTCTTCTGGTGGGTGGCTGCTTCCTGCAGCTCAAGTGTCACTTCCTCTAAGAAGCTTTCCCTGACCACCACCACTCTCTCATGTCACCCTATTTTACTGTCCTCAGAGCACGTCATATCTGTTGATGTATTTTTTGATGTCTGTCTGTACACACGGGGCCCTGGTGGTGCAGTGATTAAGCATTTGGCTGTTAACCAAAAGATGGGCAGTTTGAATCCACCAGCCACTCCCTGGAAACCCTATGGAGCAGTTCTACTCTATCCTGTAGGGTCGCTATGAGTCGGAATCGACTCAGCCTCAATGAGTTTGGTTTTTCAGTCTCTACACATGCCTCCCCAACCTTTTCTGTCTTATTCAAAGCTGTCGCCAACACCTGGAACAGCGCCAAACATACAGCAGGTACTCAATAAATACTGGCTGAACTGCCCATAAATGCCGTTTCAGGAGTGCAGGGTCTTCCGTGCACTACATTCACAGACACGTGATACGCAGCTGTCCTGGAAGCTGCTTCTTCAAGGAGAGGCGCCCCGAGACTGGGTCAGACCAAGGGCAGACCCTGCCCCTCCTAGTAAGCCCTCAGTGTGGGTCCTGTCTGGATAAAACAAGTAAGTGGTGGCCACGGCAGGGAGAGAGGAGGAAGTCACCACCCCGGGGGCAGACACTTCACAGGCATGAAGGTCTGGAAGGGGTCTGTAGCCTACAGACTGATGTAACTTCCCTAGGCCAACTGCTGTGGGAACTGTTAACAGGTTACTTTCTCCTCCCCACAGACAACAACCAACAGCAAGCACAGCTTTTCCACTGCCTTTGCAGACTTTCTGCTGGTGGTGCAGGGTGGGTTAGTCCGTGGTTGCCCACCGAAGAGTGGGAGGTAGACCTCTGAACCAAACCCATCAGCTGCCTTGTTCAGCCCCACCCACTCCCGTAGCGTTGAAACTGCCCCCCTCTCCTGCCAGCTCCCCATCCTACCACAAGGCAGACACTTAGAAGCACTTCCCCATTCACAGGCATAACTCACTGGATCCTTACAATATGATCCAAATATAGACCATTTGACAGACCAAAACTGAGGCCAGGCCACACCCGTTAGTGCCAAAGCCAGGCCTGTTCGGGGCTATTTCTGAAAGTCGTTCAGCACAGTTTCTAGAATTAACAAGAAATGATAAACCTGTGCTCACGTCCATACATGGAAACGTTCCTGTGTAACGCGGAACAGAATGAACAAGGCACAACCTGAGATAACATGGCCATGCTGGATCGTTTTCGGGGTCTGTACCGCCCCCCATCGGCCCATGGGCTCCTCAAGGGCAGGAGAATTGCTTTATTGACCTCTGTAACCCCACATACTTAGGACGGAGCTGGCACGGCGCAGGCGCCCAGCACTTGGCTCCTGAATTGAGCCCAATGGCAGACATTCCAGCCTGGGCAAAGACCCCGGCCCGTGCGACCTCCGACACGCCCGGGAGTCCCAGCGAACTGCTGCCCTGCAGCTTGCCGTTCCAAGCCGGATCTGAAAAGTTGCTGAGGCTCCCGCCGCGCGGAGCCAAACGGCAGCCTCGCTCGGCCCCAGCCCGACGCCGACCCCCGCCGCGTCTGCTCACTCACTCGTGCTGGGCAGCCAGGTGGTTGAAGACGTAGGTGACCGGGATGGCCGAGAGGGACAGTACGAAGACCCCCGTGGCCGCAGAGGCACTCATCGCCGCAGCCGCCGCAGCTAGCCCTACACCGCATCCGGCCGGGGCGCCCCGCCCCAGCTGCCGGCG